TCCAGGTGATGAGAAGAACGAGCATTGTACTTTTTTTATTATTTATTTATTTATTTTTACCGAGAGCTTTGCTACGTCACCATATTAACATTGCATTTCTTATTTTTTGAAATCTTTTTTAAATACATTAATAATACATTTATATTTATACAATAAATTACGCATAAAATAAGTTAAAGTATTTTATTTTTAATTTAAAAATATCAACTTCTATATAAATTCATAAAATTTGAGCATGCTTCAAGTTTTTTAGGAAAGGGAAAGGAAAAAAAAAAGTTTACATAGGAATATATAAATAGGGTTTAGTTAATTATGGATGACTTATCTCTTTTAACGTGATTACTCATGTGAAACGCGAGTAAGAAAAAGTGTAATTCATTAAAATATTTTATAATTTCAATTAATTTTAAACTTGCAGTAGACTTTTTTTTTTTTTTTTTTTTTTTTTTTTTTTTTTTTTTTTTTTTTTTTTTTTTTTTTTTTTTTTTTTTTTTTTTTTTTTTTTTTTTTTTTTTTTTTTACTTTTCACATTTACCTTAAAAAGTTATATATCCTAATTCCTAACTGTGAAAATGGCAATTCATGTTATCATATTTCCTTATCAAGAGCATTCACATTTGACATTTTCTCTTGAGACGAGAGACAAATATATCACAATCAATTAAATAAATCATTTAATCACATTAATACTCGTTCTTTTATAAGAAAGTGATACACATCATAATTAAGATACATTGCGTATAAAATTAACCATATTTTGTTTATAATTTTCTTAACGAAATACATATTATGAGATAAAATTAACAGTTAAGTTATTTGAAACACAAATTATGATACACATCAAGTGAAAGAATTTTGTTTATACTTCCACAAGAATTACACACTAGAACAATAAACAAATGGAAACATAACCATATTACTGGATCCATCAATATATCACATATTTTGAATTTTAGTGTGCATAATACTCTCAATTTTTTTTTTCGTTTGATTTCACTGTATATACTTCTTGTGAAGTCAAATAACTATAAATATATATATAATACCTAATATATACATAAATCAGGTGATGAAGTCTAGTTTACTTAATTAAAAATATCTCAAATTTTAGCCCTTATATAAATACAACTATGCTATATATTTGAAAATAATTTTTTTATCACACATGATAATCCTGTCTAAAAGTGATGTTTATATACCAGCGGACTTAAAAAAATCAGAAGAAGAAAAGAATTATACATATTCAAAAACTGAATAACACTATAATAGAGTCATTCCAACAAATTCAGAAAATATATAATTAGAATTATTTATAAACGCACATTGAACATAGCTCAAGGATTAATGAGGCTTGAAGTTTCAGCATTCATCATCGTAAATTTGATTCTAACGATTTGCAAATGATTCACGTGTCTTTATTTTTTAATGCTAGTAATGCCCACACTTCTTAATTTATTCACGCCGTCGCCCACTGTCAAGTGTACGTCAACATTTTTACTAGTTTTTTTTTAAAGGAAAATTTGTAATTTTCTTTTTCATAATATACAATAAACTGTCAAATTAAAAAATTAAATGACTGAAATTTCAACAAAAGTTTCATTTAATTTTACACACATGCATTTATTATAATTTTAATAAATAATATTTAAATTCATGACTGTTTTGAGGAGAGAGAAGAAAAAAGTAGAAAAAGAAATTATTGTTTGATTGTATGAAAATAGGCGAGTTAAAGAAATAAAAAAATATGTCATCTACATTTACACTAATGCACATTACACCGTTCTTAATTGATTACAAATAACTCATAATTTATTATGAACTATTTTCTTCATTACAAAAATGTTAATTTAGTATATTAAATCAAATACTTTGATTTGATCTAGCTGTTTTAATTGATCGATTCATAAAATCAATTGATTGATTTATTTTTCATTTTCCCATTTATTTTTATTTTTTAAAACTAAACACCCCTAATGTCATTTAACTTATTATTTTTTTGTCTATTTTCATTCGCACTATTTTTTAGTATATTTTTCACCTAACCTTTTATCTTATCAAATACACCTTAAAGTACAATTCATATTTTTCCTCTTATGGTAAAGAGAAAGAGATAAACACATATCAACCTTATTTATTATTAGTTTTTTTTTTTTTTGACAAAGGAAAAAATGTACATGATACTAGTATGAGAGCAGCTCAACACATTAATATAAGCATAGAGAAAATATAATTTAATGGTTTAAATAAACAATAGTTTTTGATAATAAAATAGCGGGCAATGATGAAAACAAAAAACACGCAGTTATTGGGAATAGATGAGGACCAGATGATTAGGCTCTTGGTTTTATGATCACCTCACACTTGCATGCCATTCAAATTTTTTTTTTTTTTTTTTTTTTTTTTTTTTTTTTCATTTATAGAGTATTCACTATCGATAGCGGTGATTAATTTTTTAATTATGAGGGAAATATTTTAAAAAGTGGGATAGCTGGTCCCAAAATTTAATGTAACTGATATACAAGACTGGATTCGAATTTGAACATCTGACCTTATTTAAGTGTGGATCAACTCCTACCACTAAACCACTTATATATTCAAATCTTTCATATACAATAACAATAGTACCTACTTGTAACTTTTATATATTAAACTATTTAATATTTTAATATTTATTTCTAGAAGCAAAACAAAACCAAAAAGACTGAGACGGCAAGCAATCCCATTGGCATTGTGTGTATACTGTCAAGGACGGAGCCAAGGGGGACCTACGGGTGCCACGGCCCCCCCAACAATTTTAATTTTTTTTTATATACATATATATTACTATATGGCACCCCCTATTTTTAATATAAACTCATATTTTTAATATAAACTCATATATATATTACTATATGGCACCCCCTATATGGCACCCCCAGTATTGAAATCCTGGCTCCGTCCCTG